TAGGATCTCTACTGATGACATCTTCCAATTCCTGCCCTAACATTCATAGGCTAGAAGCCCAGATTCTGGCAGATATTCAACCCATTCAGGTGACCTGGATGCTGGGTGATCGAGAATTGGTGCAGTCGGATCGTGTAGAGATGACTTTCCTCGAGGACACTGGAGTCGCTCGACTTGTGATCCGGAAAGCAAGCCAACCCGACTCGGGTCAGTACACCTGCGTGGCTACAGGAGATGTGGTTGAACCAACAACAGGAAGACGACTTTCGAAGACCATCGCTTCGAGCTCAACTGTTATTGTGGAAGGTATATTTTGATATCTTCTAACTCTTTTTCAGAGTTGACCTTTCCTAATTTAATCACTCTTGTGAAAACGGCTCGATTAATTTCTCTCTAGAGATTCCTCCTCAACATTTAGCCCATATTTAGGAATACGTTTCATAAGATTTCTTGTATTATCTATGCATCCCTGAATTTTTTGGCAATATCCATGCATTCCTAGACAAAATATCAAACCATTGAATTTACCTAGACAAGCAACCTCATAGGATATTCACCAATAAAGTTATCTTTTCCGAATCCCTTAATTGTTCAGGGATTTTCAATCAAACCACTTATTTTTTAAGGGTTTGCTATACTGATTCAACAAGCATATATCTCTACTAATGTTGCCAACCAAACAGTAGTCCTTTATTTTTGCGTCAAGTTATTCTGATATATATAGCGGCAGAAATGTATTTCGTCGATACCGAAATCAAAATTATATGACGTTTATCGATAGCTTGCAAGCTAATTTCAGGAAATAATTTTAGTTTGATATAATTTTATGTTTGTAAATTGATAAGTGGAGCTTCGAAATTGGTTCACCTAAGTATAGTTAATAAATTTAAATAATTTAATGGGCAATTTGCAAGCATTCCACGATAGCTCATATAGATTTTTTTTTTCCAAAACTTGAATGCATTTTATTTATTAGATAAGTCTCAAAAATACCTTAAGAAAATTTAACTCTGATTTTGCAAGCGCTATATTACAGCTTGTAATCGTGGCAATAAAAACATTGCTTAAGTAAATATTTGGGATGGGATAACACTTGAAAAAATACACACCTGTAAATTGAACTCGAATTTATTTGGGATGAATTATGAAAAGCTAAGTGCTAATAGGTTATATTAAATGCTGTAAAGTAGGGTATTTTAAGTTGAAATTCGAAAGATTATCCTCTTCATAAGAGTAAATATACAAGTGAATATGCGGACACTATTTATAAAAAGTCTATGAATTTATCATCGGCTTTCACAGAGATATGATTGATAGATAAATATTTCAAATACCTATAGAATATCAGTTACAATTTAAAATGTTCAATATGAAAGAGCCAACAAATATTATATATAACGGGGTATTTCCGTAATTATCAGAGTTAAAAGGTGAATATTTATATTAAAAATAATTTGGTTAAAAGGTTAAGATGAAAGTAGATGTAAAATTATGCGAAATAATATGCAAATTAGTGTATTCTTTTTTATTGATTTTTTACACAGCTACACCGACCTACAAAGCAGATATAATCTTCATCAAGCCGGTTGAAGTGAATTTAAAAAGAGAACAAGAAGAGCAAATCCTCGAGTAAGTTCATGAGACTTTATATTGCTTCATATTCCCTTGCATGGGGGATATATTTTTTATATCCAAATATGATAATGGCCAGGTCTGTAATGATGACATCTTCGAATTCCTGCCCTAACATTCATAGGCTAGAAGCCCAGATTCTGGCAGATATTCAACCCATCCAGGTGACCTGGATGCTGGGTGATCGAGAATTGGTGCAGTCGGATCGTGTAGAGATGACTTTCCTCGAGGACACTGGAGTTGCTCGACTTGTGATCCGAAAAGCCAGTCAACCCGACTCGGGTCAGTACACCTGCGTGGCTACAGGAGATGTGGTGGAACCAATGACAGGGAGAAGACTCTCGAAGACCATCACTTCTAGCTCAACCGTTATTATTGAAGGTCTCTAATATCAGATAATATTCATAATATATTTTGGTAATGTAACAATTTTTCACCATAAAACCTTTGGTGCATTACTTCATATACCAAAATTTGGCTGAGACAGTTTACCGCAAGTGTAATTGAGTAGTGGTAAATAGTATAATGAAAAGAAAAAAATGATACATTTTTTCAGAAGATTTAGGCCAACTAGAAACCCTTAAAGTAATTTGACTTCCTATTATTGAGTCTAAATGATGTGCCTACTTTTGCCCTCGACATCAGTTGGGCTAATTAAATCAGTGAAAGCTTTGATTCTTTGAAATTTAAGGCGGTCTCTGTTCCATAATAATTGGGTAATTGACATATTCCTTTTGAATATGTTGATTCTGTTAAGACACCTTTTAGAAATATATATACGATCCATTTAAGTCAAAGCGATGCTGGTAGAGGAATAAGAAGGATGGATTTCGAATTGTGGCCTAGAAAGCATATAAAGGCTACCTCAGTAATTCTGCAAATTTCATCACCATGATTGCATAAAATCTCTGCTAGTATTAGTATGGACTAATATTAACGAACCAACTTTGTTCTACCTTAATTGATTTAAAATAGATAAGTTATAGTCCTAGATTTTTAGAAGCAATAATACCTTCCAGCGATGGCCTTGCGTAAAGTTAAAGACAAACTTTGTCTTTAACCCATTTCGTTAGTCAATAATGTGCTTTAATCCTTTGAAAGATGCGAATCCCTCTTTATTTTCATATATTTCTTCTTCAGCTGTGCCAGCATACAAAGCAGAACTCCAGTTCATTAGACCAGTTGAGGTGCATATGAAGCAGGCCGAGGAGGAGAAGATTATGGAGTAAGTGAGGAACGCCTAAGGCACACTTGATCCCACAAACTCAAACAAGCATCAGCATTACTTTACAAAGAATCGTAACAATGACTTAGCAATTTACTGCTTCTATTTGTATGACCTGTTTGAAGATGTCACCTGAGATCTGATTTAAAAGTTTACATCACCTCTCTT